TTTTAATGATGGAGTCTTGCTCTGTTGCCCAGGCTGGAGTGCACTGGCATGACCTCGGCTCACTGCAACCTCTGCCTCCTGGGTTCAAGCGATTCTCCTGCCTTAGCCTCCTGAGTAGCTGGGACTACAGGTGCACGCCACCGCGCCCGGTGAATTTTTATATTTTTAGTAGAGATGGGTTTTCACCATGTGGGTCAGGACGGTCTCGATCTCTTGACCTCATGATCTGACGACCTCAACCTCCCAAAGTCCTGGGATTACATGCGCCACCGTGCCCGGCCAGGATCTTCTTTTTTAAGGCTGAATTGTATTCCATCATGTACATCTCAGATTTTCTTTATTCATTCGTCCATCAATGGACAGTCAGGTTGTTTCCATATCTTGGCAATTGTGAATATAGTGCTGCACTGGACATGAGGGTGTAAGTGTCTTTTTGAGATACTCAGCCTTGCTGGATCCTATAGTTCTGTTTTTATTTGTTCCAGCAACCTTCACACTGTTTTCCATGACAGCTGCACTATTTACATCCCCACCAACAGTGCACCAGTGTTCTCTTTTCTCCACATCCTCGTCAGCACTTGCCTTTTTTTTTTTTTTTTTTTTTAAATAATAGCCATCCAGGCCAAGCACAGTGGCTCACACCTGTAATCCCAGCATTTTGGGAGGCTGAGGTGGGCGGATCACTTGAGGTCAGGAGTTCGAGACCAGCCTGGCCAACATGGTGAAGCCCTGTCTCTACTAAAAATACAAAACTTTGCCTGGCGTGGTGGCTCACATCTGTAATCCCAGCTACTTGGGAGGCTGAAGCAGGAGAATCACTTGAACGGGGAGGCGGAGGTTGCAGTGAGCCGAGATAACACCACTGAACTCCAGCCTGGGTGACAGAGTAAGACTCCATCTCAAAATAATGATGATAATAATAACAGGCATCCTAACAGGTATGAGGAGATACCTCATTGTGTTTTTGATTTGCACTGCCTGATGATTAGTGATGTGTACTTTTTCATACACATATTGTATGTCTAGTTTCTCTTTTCAGACCATCACTGCTTCCCTGCTTAGGCACAGACAGGCACCGGGGATGTGTGGGATCTCTAACCACCCAATTCACTTTGGAGGTGGGTATAGGCCACAGCAGCTGTAGGCTATCCTGTGACTGCACAGAGCCGTGCAGCTGCAAATGGGCTGTTCTCCTTGCTGACCTTGGCCCTGGATGTGATGCTCTGAGGGACTCCACCTGCAGAAGCCTCCTCGGGGAGTGCCTGCTTTACACAAGCCCTAAACAAGCACAATTGCCACTTCTTTAAGCCCATAACACTGACAGATGCCAACATCTGGTTCTAAGAGTTGCCCCAAACTTCCCACTGGGGCCCTGGGAAGACTGGGATTTGAACTCAGATCAGCCTGTCTGCAGTGCACATCGCCCTGGCTGAGCTGAGCCAGGCTGCTCCCGGATGCTGAGGACCCTGTGGGTGAGTGTGGGCAGGGCCTGGCCTCGGCACCCTGTACCCCTAGGCGACACCGATGCCCTTCCTACGTAGTCTGCACCCTGGCTCAGCCCTGAGCCTCTGGAGGCAGAGTACTGGGGAGCTGGGCTTCTCAGCAAGAGGGCCCCTCCCATTGCCCCCTCCTTGCAGCTCCCACCTCAGAGGATGCTGGGTAACAGGTGTACTCCCAGAGTGTCTCCCAACCCTCACCAGCTGAGAAAACCTCAGTGGGGGCCAGAGGCAGCCAGAGGCCATGCACCCTGGGTCCTCCTGCCCCAAGAGCCATGAGAGAGACAGAGAGAGACAGAGAGAGAGAGAGAGTTGGAGAGTTGGGGGAGGGGTTCCTGCAGGTGAACAGATCACATTTTGGCCAAATTCCAATAAATTCTCACTTAACATTTAATGTTGAAAAATCCTAATGGTGACCTGATTCCCTCTTTTGAATTCCAGCCCTCTCAGATAACCTATCTCTCGAGGTGACAAGCTGGTGCCACTTGAATTCATTACTGCCTGATTAATTATGCTGCCTTTGTACTAGGGAAACAGGGACTTCAATCAGCTGCAGCCACCAACCCCTGGCCGTCGCCTCAACAGGCCGGCCGCTGCCAGGGAGCCTGGCCCCTCGCCCAGCTCCGGGGTGGCCGAGAAGCTGGGTGCAGTGGCTAGCAAGATGTGGCTCCTCGCAGTCAGAGGGCCTGGGATTGGAGGTCCTTTCTGGGCAGTTAAGGCGGAGAGGGGTGAGCCAGGTCAGAGGCTGCAGAGTGGAGATTTCTGCTCTGTCTCTGGAGAGGCTTGACCAGGAGGCACTCCTTGGGGCCTTGAGCTGCCGGGACACAACAGACATCACTGAAACTGCATTGTCCTTTAAGAAGGAGGCACCGGGTCTCGGAAGGTGCAATTTCAAGCAGATGCATCCTGTGAGATACGGGGTTACTTTGGCAAAGGGGAAGGTTCTCTGGCCAGCTCCCTAGGCACAGCCCTCACAGACATCACTGCAGAGCCTCAACATGGTGTCGGGGAGGGCAGTTCCAGGCACCCGGGGCACCTGCCCCGAGGCCGGGCAAGAACCAGCACCCTCAGCTCTGCTGGTTTCTTAGCCTGCAGGGTGTGGGCACAGTGGCCCTTGGTCCTGTGCATCCTGCATTTGTCAAGGTTTATGCCTGTTAGCTCTTAATTTTATAAGTATTTCACAAAGATCAATAACTAGGAAGAAAAATCTTCTCCACTCACTTTTTTTTTTTTTAAGATAAAATAGTATTTTGAAAAGAATATGAGCCTAAAGTCAGGGGAAAAAACAAGCTATGTAGACTAGTCCCTGCTACTACCTAAGATCTCAGGCAGTTAAACTCTTCTCTTTAAAGCTTCAATTTCTTCATCTAAAACATGAGGGAATGAATCCACCTTGTAATGTTGCTATGAAGAACAAGATGTTACTATGCCAAGTGCTTTACACGAATCCTAGCTTGTAATGTTGCTGTGAAGAGCAATGTCAAGTGCTTTAAATAAGGGCCTGGAAAAGAACGGTAACAGTAACAGTAGCTTAGTAAATGAATCTGCAGACTGAGATAATAATGCCACCTAACTCTTCATGTTATAAAAATTCCCAGAGTTAAGACATATGTAAACTGTTTGCTAGAGTACCTTCTCATTTTCAACTGTTAAGCAGTTATTCAAAAGAAAACAGAGTTTCAGTCATTTGGTTGTAGGGTACTAGTACTTTATAATTACATGAAATCATACTTTAAGGTGTGATGATGGTTTTGCCCTCAGGGGCTTGCTGGTATTCTGCAGGAAGTTGTCTTTTTTCTTTTTTTTTTTAATGGAGTCTTGCCTTGTCACCTAGACTGGAGTGCAGTGGTGCAATCCTGGCTCACTGCAACCTCTGCCTCCCGGGTTAAAGTGATTCTAGCGCCTCAGCCTCCCAAGCAGCTGAGGTTATAGGCACTCGCCACTGCACCCAACTAATTTTTATATTTTTAGTAGAGGTGGGGTTTCACCATGTTGGCCAGGCTGACCTCAGGCAATCCATCCACCTCGGCCTCCCAAAGTGCTGGGGTTACAGGCATAAGCCACCATGCCCAGCCTCTTTTTTCTTTTTTTATTTTATTTTTATTTTATTTTATTTTATTTATTTATTTATTTACAGATGGGGTTTCACCATGATGGCCAGGCTGGTCTTGAACTCCTGACCTCAGGTGATCCACCCACCTTGGCCTCCCAAATGCCGGTGAGCCACCACACCCGGCCTCTTTTTTCTTTTTTTCAAATAGATATGTGTCTCGCTGTGTTGCCCAGGCTGATGTCGAACTCCTGGGCTCAAATGATCCTCTCACCTCAGCCACCCACTCCCCTCCCCTTGCCACAGCCTCTGCAGAAAATGTTTTAATCAGGAAGAAAATGAGGCTATCCATGGCCTCTCAAAGACTCATACCCTGAGAAGGGAGAGGCAGTAGTGCAAGGTCATTCTTCAGGGCTAAGCAAAGACAGTCTTGTTCCTGAATGTTATCTGATTCATGATTCAAGCCAAATGGACTATGAAACCAAAGGTGGATCCTGTCCAAATACCCACAGGTGACATGGTCCAGGTACAGCCAGATCCCAGGGAAAGGTGTCTGGAAAAGGGACACCACACTGAGTTCTCACACAGGAAGCTTCAGCAGCTGAGATGGGACAGAGAGGTGTTCAAGGGAAAGGCTGCCTACAGAAGAGGAAGAGAAGCCTTGTGGGGGGTACCCTGATCTCCCAGACAACAGTTTCTGCTGTCACCGATTGTCACTCCCTGGCAGATTCCTGAGCCAGGTCCAATGAACTGTCCTTGCCTCTGCATCCATTCCTGGTGCCCCACTGCAATGCCATGCACACATTTTGTGACAGAGTCTCACTTTGTTGCCCAGGCTGGAGTGCAGTGATATGGTCCGGACTCACTGCAACCTCTGCCTCCTGAGTTCAAGTGATTTTCCTGCCTCAGCTTCCCAAGTAGCTGGGACTACAGACGCCCACCACCACGCCCAGCTACTTTTTGTATTTTTAGTAGAGATGAGGTTTCATCAGTTTGGCCACGCTGGTCTTGAACGCCTGATCTCATGATTCACCCACCTCGGCCTTCCAAAATGCTGGGATTACAGGCATGAGTCACCACGCCCAGCCCTGTCTCTGATATTTTAAAACAGATTTTTAAAATTATCTAACTGTTCTCGTTGTTTAAGGTGGGAAGTTTTGTTTGATCCAGATTGGCATTCCAGAGCCAGAAGAAGAGATCTCAACTGTTTCTTTAGCATAATGCCTCACCTATAACAATGGTTAGCATAAAAATTAAGGTTTGGGGTACCGGCTTTGAAGTCATAAATTCCATCTCAGTGGGTTTAAAAAGTATAAGTTGGTTAAACTGGTTGGAAAGAGTAGAAAATTACAGTTCTCTGTTAAGATAAATTATCCTAATTCAATTAGTATAAGAAGCATTTGAGTGGTCACTGGAAACATATAGTATATCCCAGTTAACTTTCCAGTACTTTTTCTCCTAGTGAAGTGTACCTTTGGTTTATAGCAGCAAGAATTAGGGATGCTTCCCAGCCTCTGTCAGGCTCTGAGTCATCTTGCAATATGCTTGTAGGTCCCTAAGAAGACACTGTGTTTACCTCTCTATTATGCCTCAGGTAAATCCATTCGATAAAAATATATAGAAATCATATCTAAAGATTCTCATCTTACTTATCCAAAAGTTTCATAAATTATCCTTTTAAAGTACAAACGTCCATAAAAACTGAGAAGATGGGCAGGGCATGGTGGTTCACACCTGTAATCCCAGAACTTTGGGAGGCTGAGGTGAGCAAATCATCTGAGGTCAGGAGTTTGAGACCAGCCTGGCCAACATGGCCAAACCCTCTGTCTCTACCAAAGATACAAAAAAATTAGCCAGGCATGGTGGTGCATGCCTCTAATCCCAACCACTTGGAAAACTGAGGCGGGAAAGAGAATTGCTTGACCCAGCAGATGGAGATTGCAGTGAGCAGAGATCGTGCCACTGCACTCTAACCTGGGTGACAGAGTTGGACTCTGTCTCAAAAAAGAAAAAAAAAAAAAAAAAACTGAGAAGATGAAAAGAAGAAACAGAACACACACAAATAATTTTGCACAACAGAGTGGAGAGGAGATACAGCCAGCCACTTGTCAAATAACCATGAGTGTTGCAAGCTTGACCTTAGCAGGCGGTTCATGTCACATGGGGAAAAGAGCCTTCAAAGCACAAAGTTAGACCCATTCTGGCAAAGTATCAGAATGAACTAGTTAACCTAAAGGCCAGGCTGCATGCTGGACAAGAACAGCTGGGAAGGCTGAGGGTATCTACTGCAGGAACTCACATTTTGAAGTGCAAGTAGGTTTTATTACCAAGGTTGTGCATAGCCACCAGCAAAAGCATAGCTAAGGCTGCTCAGTGAGATGCCTTAGGAACTGAATGAGCAGAAATGAATCTGTGAGCCCGAGAGACCATCCTCTAAAAAGGCCATGGACTGGCTAGTATGATAATGCTTGGGCCTCCGAACACAAATGGAAGAATCAAGACCAGCCACTCAAGTCAGATTGCTTCAGCTAATAAAATAAGGGACGATGACAGGAAGTCCATGGGATGGGGGTTGGTTCTCTCAACTCCTTGGAGAGACACTTAGAAGAAAAGAAATGGTTTCGGCAAGGCAATAATCACAGAATCTGTTAGTACTAAACAGATTCTGTTTAGTAGATATAGTCTAACTTTAACCACCTTACATTACAGATGAACAGACACCATGCTGAAAACTTTTCAGCTGCCAGTCCTCACATCAAACATTGGTTCTTCTGCAAAGACTTCCCTGCTTCCATTTGGTGACTCTCTCTCATTCTTTTCTTTTCCTTTTTTTTTGCCCAGGCTGGAGTGCAGTGGCGCAATATCGGCTCACTGCAAGGTCTGCCTCCCTGGTTCAAGCGATTCTCTTGCCTCAGCCTCCCCAGTAGCTGGGATTACAGGTGCATGCCACCATGCCCTGCTAATTTCTGTATTTTTAGTAGAGATGGGTTTTCACCATGTTGGCCAGGCTGGTCTTGAACTCCTGACCTCAGATGATCCGCCCACCTCAGCCTCCCAAAGTGCTGGGATTACAAGAGTGAGCCTCTGCACCCAGCCTCCTTCATTATTTTCTTTCCTTCCTTTCTCCCTTCCCTTCACTTCCCTTCCCTCCCCTCCTTCCCTCCTTCATTCCTTCCTTTCTTTCGAGACAGAATTTCACTCATTGCCCAGGCTGAAGTGCAATAGCACAATCTCAGCTCACCACAACCTCTGCCTCCCAGGTTCCAGCAATTCTCCTGCCTCAGCCTACCGAGTAGCTGGGATTACAGGCGCACACCACCATACCTGGCTAATTTTTTTGTATTTTCAGTAGAGATAGGGTTTCTCCATGTTGGCCAGGCTGGTCTGGAACTTGTGACCTCAGATGATTCACTCGCCTTGGCCTCCCAAAGTGCTGGGATTACAAGTGTGAGCCACTGCACCTGGTCTCCTTCATTATTTTCTAATTACAAGACTGAACTCCATCATTTCAGGAGCTCAAGAAAACAAAAGGTCCTCAATAGCATTTGCTGAAGGGACATGAGAGAAGGGGCATCTGCAAAGTGCACTGAGTCTCCGTTGTCCTGAGCCCCAGTCCAGGCAATTCACCAGACTCCAACACCGGTTCACAAGTTTCAGAATACCCTGAAAAAAATAACTTACACATGATATGAAATAGAATAAGGCTGGGTGTGGTGGCTTATATCTGTAATCCCAGCATTTTTGGAGGTAGAGGCAGGCAGATCATCTGAGGTGAGGAGTTCCAGACCAGCCTGACCAACATGATGAAACCCCATCTCTACTAAATATACAAAGTTTTAGCTGGACGTCAAGAGAATCCCTTGAACCCAGGAGGCGGAGGTTACAGTGAGCCAAGATCATGCCATTGCACTCCAGCCTGGGCAACAGAGCAAAACTCCGACTCAAAAAAAAAAGAAAAGAAAAAATAAATAGAGATAATAACATAATGAACCACCATGTTCCCATTACTAATGCACTATCATTTCCCGTACCTTCACTTACTTTCCTTGCCCCATATAAAACTACTTACAAATAAATCCCAGATATCCCATCATTCGCCCTAAATATTTTAGCCTGTATTTTCAAAAGATGACTTTAAAAATATAATCATAATACTACCATTTCTGAAAACTTTAAGAAGACTTAAAATATCAAATATCTCATCAGTATTGAAATTTACAAGTGTCCTAAAAATGTTAGGTTTTTTCTTCTTTTTATCATTTGTTTGAGTCAGAATCTAAATGTGATTATTTTCCTTGCAATTCATTATTGAAGAACTGGGTCGTTTATCCTGTGGTTTTACAAGAGCTAGATTATTTTGATTATGTCCCCATAGTGCTGTTTAACACGTTCCCCTGTACTTTGTATTTCATGTAAATTAGAACAGGAGTCCCTCCTTATCCTCTGAGATACATTCCAAGACCCCCAGTGGCTGCCTGAAATCACGGTCAACAGCAAACCCTACATACCGTAGAGTATGTTTTTTCCTATATGTATATATCTATGATAAAGTTTATAAACTAGGCACAGTAAGAGATTAACAACAATAACTAATAATAAAATAGAACAATTACAACAATGTACTGTAATAAGAGTTACATGAATGTGGATGTAATAACCCAGACGGGTATTGAGTAACTAACGAGCAGGGGGCATGGACAGTGCCAATACACCCTGATGATCGCATCAGGGTGATGAAGCGGCTTCATTGTTTGGTGTAAATACCTGAGGTCTGCTGCCTCATGCCAAGGAAATCAAGGACCCAGAGGTACATGGAGTAAGGTTAAGAGCAGGGATTTTGTCTGGGCACAGTGGCTTACACCTGTTATCCCAGAACTTTGGGAGGCTGAGGCAGGCAGGTCATCTGAGGTCAACAGTTCAAGACCAGGCTGGCCAATATGGTGAAACTCTGTCTTTACTAAAAAAAAAAAAAAAAAAAAAAAAAAAAAAAAAAAAAAAAAAAAAAAAAAAAAAAAAAAGAACAGAGGTTTAATAGGCAAAAGAAAGAGAAAAGAGAATAGCTCTCAATAGCTCTCTCTCCTGCAAGAGGCCGGGGAGCCCAAGTAGAAATTCCAGGCCTTGAGGAAAGCAATGGATATTATAGACAGGCTTGAGGAGGAGGTATCTGATTTACACAGGGCCCAAAGATTGGTTGGACTAGGTGTGATGTTTTACATAACTCGCAAGAAAGCTGGCTACCCCACCCTAATTTTTTTGAGACAGAGTCTTGCTCTGTTACCCAGGCTGGAGTGCAGTGATTTCAGCCTTCCGAGTAGCTGGAATTACAGATGACTGCCACGACACCTGGTAATTCTTATCTTTAGTAGAGACAGGATTTCACTATGTTGGCCAAGCTGGTCTCGAACTACTGACCTCAGGTGACTCACCTGCCTCAGCCTCCCAAAGTGCTGGGATTACAGGCGTGAGCCACCTCACCCCACCCACCCCACTCCACCCTAATCTTATACTGTAAATGAGGTCTTTGCTTGGCTGGGGCCATGTTGCCTGCTCCTTACTGTACATACATCTGGCAAAGAGAAGGGAAGATGGAGCCGCCATTTTGAACATGCCTAGTCCAGGTAGCCTTTTCCTATTGTCACAGCTGCTGGCATTCACCCATGCAAGCTTCTAGCCTGGTTGTCTATGTCTGCAGCTCGGTTTTACAGGCTGCTCTTTGTTAGAAAAGAAAATGACCTAGGGGCTGCTTTTCATTAAAAGGAAAATGTTACCAAGGACTCCCTTACCCTCCCTATCTGCCTAAATAATTTCTTCTTAACTCCTATATCAGCGGGACCCAGTGGGCCAGCCTGAGATTTCACTGTGCTACTTAGAATGGCATGAAATTTAAAACTTAACCAAACTTTTTTTCCGGAATTTTTCATTTACTATTTTTAGAATGCGGTTGACTTGGGTAACTAAAATCAAGAAAAGCAAGATGGTGGGTAAGAGAGAGCACTGTAGGTGATCTCAGTGGTCTGGACACCTCTCAGGATCCCCCCAGAACTCCACATATCAAACCTGAATCTGATCAATCATAGGGGTTCAGTGGGGCTCCAAGAGATGTCTAGACCACTTTATAGTTGGTACTGAGTTTTTCTTAATTTCAAGGCACATAATGTGGGGAAATAGAGTTTTTTTCTGACGTCAGCAGCCACCAGTAATCGTGCCTACATCCATTTATCAGGGATGCAAAATGGTGATATTCTGTCTATTGATTCTTCCTCACTTAATAGCTGGAAATACTTTAGGAGAAATACCCCCTCAGATGCCATGTGGCCACCAAAGCCCAATTTTAACACAGTTGTAACCAAGACAATGCTTTCTCTCCTACAGTCCTCTGCAGGTTGATCAACTTTAAGCAAACCTTTTTTTTTTTTTTTTTTTTTTTTTTTTTTTTTTTTTTTTTTTTTTTTTTGAGACAGTTTTGCTGTTATCACCCAGGCAATGGTGCAATGGTTCAATCTTGGCCCATTGCAACCTTCACCTCCAGGATTCAAGCAATTCTCCTGCCTCAGCCTCCTGTGTACCTGGGATTACAGGCACGTACCACCATGCCCAGCAAATTTATGTATTTTTAGTAGAGACAGGGTTTCAATATGTTGGCCAGGCTGTTCTCAAACTTCTGACCTCAGGTGATCCACCCGCCTTGGCCTCCCAGAGTGCTGGGGTTACAGGCCTGAGCCGCCATTTCTTCTTTATTTTCTAGCCAAGAACTGACTGGCAGAGGTGGGCCTGACAGCTGTGGGAAACACATTCTTGCCTGGTTCTCTCCCAGCCAGTTGGCTGAAGCAGAGGCCCTGCCTGCCCAGAGATTTTCTCAAAGAAGCACGGCTCCAGGGCCTGCTCTACAGGTCTGGCCTTTCTCTTTGAAAATGTTTTCTCCTGTAATTAAGGGATTTTCTAACTTGAGGAATAGATTAAAATTCATCAAAATTATATTTTCAGAAAGCCATAAACCTGAAGTTACTAAGGTCTGGCTCCAGGAAATCCTGAATCCAAGAAGAATGCTCAGCAGGACAGAATTGAAGACAACAGTTCATCATCTTTCCTTCCCAGGATCGAGAATATCCCAAGGAAATGCCAAGTAAAAAAGTAAAATCAGCGATTGATTTTGCGTTTGGAGAACTGACCAAGTTTCTTCATCAAATGCCGATTGCAAGTCTGAGTCAAGGTTGAGCATATATAAAGGAATCCTCCCGGGTACCTCCCCTTGGGGTCTTCACAAGATGTGATTTTGAAAAACCAGACTCGGGCGATCAGAGACCTCACTGCGGAGGAAACGAAGGATGCCTCACTTCCAAAACCTGCCTCCTGCAAACACTCCCTCGGGTCCCTGCTGGCGCCAGGCTGGGACCGAGAGAGCTTCCTGTCCCGCTGACCACAGAGGTTAAACAGAATCTCCACTCCCGGATTGAGGAAAGAAAGGCGTCTTCCCCGATGATTTTCGCGAGGCTGCGGACCCTAGCAGCACCCCGACTGGACCCACCCCGCAGAGCTGTTGGGGCGGCAGGCGCCCAGGCCTTCCTGAATCCCTGGCCCCTCTGGTCTATCCTAGGCCCCCCAGGACTCAGGCCTGCGAAAATCCCGACCTCTGCCAGGCCCCTCCTCGCAGGCTTTGCGGTTTGCTAACTCGCGGTGCGGCCTTGGGACGGTGCCTCAGTTTCTCCAAGTGTAATGAAGTAGGGCTGGACCGTGATTCTCAGAATCACCCTTGAAGCTTTTCCAAAACCGCCTACCAGGGAGTCCCCACCGGATCGGAGAGGGGGTCGGGGGCGAAAAGCGGCAGGACGCTGACAGCCCGGGCTGGAACCCGGGACTCGGGCTCTCCCGCCTCTGCAGCGACTCCACCCGTCGGCCTGGCCCCGGAGCTCGCCTTCGGCCAGGGTGGTGTATTGCGCTGTCTCCGGGCCGGTTCCGGGAGGCCGGGCTGGGCTGCCCCACCGGAAAGACTCGTTTCAGCCGGAGCAGGCGGAGGCCGGGCGGAAACAGACTTGTAGCCCCTGCCTGGGGCCCTCCCCGCCCCCCACCCCGCCTTCCTCCTACCCCACCCCTGTGCAGCCCCGCCGGGTCGGGGAATAGCAGGCCTGCAGGTGGGGCAGCCACTGGTCACCCCGCCCACTCCTGCCCCGCCCACAGGATGCGCCCCCCAGGGCACACCTGAGCTCGCCCCGAGGTTCCCGGGCTGTGACTCCACAGAGCCTCGGTGGGGGAGGGGAGAGAGGAGAGAGAATAGGAAAGTGGGGTGCGATCTGAGTCGGGGACCTGTTGCCAAGAAGCTGGACCCTCAGACTCTGGCCGTCAGAAGCCGCGGTACAGCTGCCTCCCCTACCTCAGGTCGCCCAGCAGAGCTTTCTAGAGCTGGGGTGCTCAGAAGACCCTAGGCGGAGGCAAGAACCTTGGGCCATGGCTCTGTGGGTAAAGCCCTCGGGGAAGCCAGACTGCGCGCTCCAGCTCCCATCGCGGGCGTGGGCCCCGGGGTGGAGACGGTTGGATCACTGCCCTGCCATTCCCATGCTGCACGGCCTCGGCCCAATGCCACCACCTCTCAGGGCCGCCGTTTCAGGCTTCAGATGGGGTGGCACTGGATGGCAGCAGGCCCCAACCTTTGCCCCAAATCTCTAAGGAGGGGTCCAGCCTGGCGTGCCCAGATCCAGGCTGCTGCGTATGCGCGGAGCTGGGAGCTGCAAGAACCCGCCCCGGACCCGGGGCGAGCGTCTGGGCCCTCGGGACGAGCGTCTGAGCCCCTCGGGGGCTCCAGCTGCGCCCCCACCGTGGGAGCCAGAGCAGGAGAGAGGCCGCCCCAGCCTTTTCTGGGCTGCAGCCCTGCGGACCGCCGGGACGGGCGCCACGTCCTCTCCAGGCCTCCAAGACGCAGACTAGAAGCCCATTGCTGCTGGGAAGATGGGCACCCCAGGTCTCCCCGCACGGCCTCCCCAGGTGAAACTTGGATGAGACACTCAGGCACCTTTTAGGCCCCCGGCGAAAACTGAAAGCCTGAGCCCACCAATGGCTCGGAAGCTCTGCGGGATTGAGTCATCAGAGGAATGCTGATCTGGAAGTACCAAGGCCAGAAGACACCCGCAAAAACCGCGGGCACTGGAAAGCAAGTGCAGCTTAATCTCCAGGCGTGGTTTAGATGGAAAGCAGCCTGGAGACCAGTTAAGAGAACGGCGAGCAGAGCGCACTGGACTGGCATCAGCAGACGTGAGTGCGAGACCGTCCTGCCCCTTAATCCTGTGTGACCTTGGACCGTTTATTTAGTCTCCGAGCCTCACTCACAGTGTTCTCATTCCTGAAAATACTCTGCCCCACCTCTGGGCTGCAGTGAGAACATAAGGAGACTATAAACATGACTTTTTGCCACTTTTGGAGCCCCACGCTGGGGAAAGATTTTCCTAGCACCTGGGAGATTTTCTTTACCACCAGCTGCCAAGATTGCTGGGAAGGAGACAGCCCCATCCCAGAAGGAAGACACCTTAAATTGGAACTTTATTTTTCCTCCTATAAAAAGACAATCTAATACTGGAGAAGTGTAAAAATTAAGGAGTCCTTAGAAGCCATTTGTTGTTTTAACTATTTTCTGAGACAGGATCTTACTCTGTCACCCAGGGTAGAGTGAGGTGGCACGATCATTGCTCATCGTAGCCTCCAACTCCTGGACTCAATCCTCCCTTCTCAGCCTCCCAAGTACCTGGGACTAGAAGTGCATCAGGCACGGTAGCACACATCTGTAGTCGTGATACTTTAGAGGCCAAGAAGGGAGTTCTCACTACTTTGCCCAGGCTGGTCTCCAACTCCTGGGATCAAGCCATCCTCCTGCCTCAGCCTCCCAAAGTGTTGGGATTATAGGTGTCAGCCACTGCTCCCAGCCTGTTGTTTTAACTATCTATCAAAGAAATAGATGGAGGTGGACGGGGATGCTGAGTGCTTTAGGTTAGACTTGAAAGAGTTAACAGCATAGGTTACAGAATCACACATACCCAAATTGGAATCTTGCCTCCACCCTTTACCATTAATGTTATGTTATGTTAGTGACTTAACCTCTCTGTGCTTCAGTTTCTTCATCTGTAAAATGAAGAAAATGACATCAACCTGCGGGGTTATTGAGAAGACGAAATGCAATAGTGAGTGTAAAAGTGCCTGTGGTAATACACAATAAATGCTAGCTAGTTTTGGTTTCCATCCTTCTTTTCTACCAATTTGTATGGTTAAATAGTTTTCAACATGCAGAAAAGTTGAAAGAATTGTACAGTGAACACCCACGCATGTTCCACCTAGCTTCTGCATTTACATGTTTACTCTATTTGCCTTATCGCATATCTGTTTATCTATCTTTCTTTCCCTCTAACCATATATCAATCCATCTGTTCTGGTTATAACTGTTATATAACAAATTCCTCAAAACTTAGTAACTTGAGAAAATAGCCATTTTTCTCATGTTCATGGATTCCAAGAGTTAGGAATTCAGACAGGTTGGCTTGTTGCTGCTCTAAGATGTCTGGGGTCTCAGCTGGGAAGACTTGATGCCTGTGGGCAGGAATCGTCCTGAGGCACCTTTCACGCTCATGTCTGAGAGTTGCCAGCATCGTGCCTGCATATGATCTCGTCATGACGCTCAGACTTCCTCCCAGCGTGGTAGCCTCAAGGTAGCTGAACTTCTGGCAAACGAGGCAAAAGTTGCATTGACTTTATAACCCAACCTTGCAAGTTACATAGCATGGCTTCCTATTGGTCAAAGCAGCCATAGATTCAAATGGCAGAATTAGACTCTACCTCTTGCTGATGATGTGCCAGGGTCATTTTGTAGATCTGGGGGACAGGAACTCTTGTGGCCATCTTTGAAGGTGCCACATTTGCCCCTTTGTTCACAACAATGCTTGTGCAATATGCACAAAATCTCATTTCATGAAATCACCCATTGTCAGAGTCCAAGATTTCTTTTTATTGTTGTTGTGGTGTTTGGTTTTTAGAGACAGGGTCTTGCTCTGTTGCCTAGGTTGGAGTGCAGTGGTGCCATCATAGCTCATTTCAGCCTGCAACTCCTACTCCAGTGATCCTCCCATCCCAGTCTCCTGAATAGCTGGAACTATGCACATGCACCACCACCCCCAACTAACTTTGTTTTCATTTTGCAGAGACAGGGGTCTCACTATGTTGCACAGGCTGGTTTTGAACACCTGGCCTCAAGCAACTTTCCCACCTTGGGCTCCCAAAGTGCTAGGGCTACAGATGTAAGCCATTGTAGATGTGAGCCAATAAACCTCTTCAAAATAAGCCTTTCTTGTCCGGGCACAGTGGCTCACGCTTGAATCCTAGCATAGGTGGGCAGATCACCTGAAGTTGAGCAACATGGTAAAACCCCGTCAATACTAAAAATACAAAAATTAGTGGGGTGTGGTGGCATGCACCTGTAATCCCAGCTACCTGGGAGGCTGAGGCAGGAGAATCACTTGAACCTAGCAAGCAGAGTTTGCAGTGAGCCAAGACTGTGCCACTGCACTCCAGCCTGGGCAACAGAGCAAGACT